GATGTGATTCCGTCTTCACCCGGCGCCTTGTTGTTCTTAAGCTGCTTGAGGGCCATTCTAATCTCGTATAGGCTGATGTCCGGGATATCCTCGGTATAATGTCGGGTAAGTCTAGCTCTTGGATCTGCAACTGAGCTAACAGGTTTAGTGACCGATGCGTATAGCTGACCATAAAACGTCTCGATCTCCCCCAAAACTTCGGCTTTCGTCGACGCCACACTACCATCCTCCGCCTTCAGCTTCGTCAGCTGGCTTTGCCCAATAGACACGTCCCTAGCGAACACTTTGGAGCCTTGGTTCCGCTCTATCGCTTCTTTAACCATATTGACATTAAAGTTGCGGATATCGTGTCGCAGGGACTTCCATATCTGTCTATTGAGCTGCCGATGTGCTTTAGCATCGGCAGAGGTCTGGAGCACCATAGCACGTCGTTCTGCCATGAGTCTAAAATCTAGATAATGCAATGCAATGAATTCGCGACACGTATTAATTGACGATCACTCAGTGCGTACGCCAATCAAACAGTCGATAGCCAAAATAAACCCAATAGTCAATGTTTGGGTTTGACATTGACATTCGACAAATTATGTCAAACGTGTGCCAAGTGCATACATTGACTTTTTTTTTAAACATTCGTTTGATTAGTGTCTAAATGCCATTGGTCTAGAGTCTAGACCAATAAGCACTTCTGGAAGAGAGTAGAAAAGTGTGGAAAAAAAGATTAAAAGAGTAAAAAAATTGCTTAAAAAGTGGAATAGTTAGCTCGCTCAGTTTTAATGTACTAAAACTTACTTTGAAGATTTCTTAGAAATGGCTACGTAAAGTAAAAAAATCTAATAAATTGTTTCAAAGCGTATCCTATTAAGGTTTTTGCGCATTTAACTTGGAAATCTAGAAATGTGAATGTAAAACTAGCATTTATATTTAATTTAGGAACTAAGCTAAGAATTAAATTTTCTAGCATAAAGAGGAAATGTAAAGGCATGCTTGAGGTTTTCATAGCTTTTAGAAATTATGTTTTGTTTTGCGAAGGATTAAAGGTATTTGAAGAAAATGTTTAAACTAAATACGGGGTATAAACGCATCGCTCTCGAAAATCTCTGACAGGTGATGGCAAAAAAACAAATTATATTATCGTAAAAATAAGGAATTTAATGTTTCTTTTATGTAATAATAATGTAATCAACTGCTCAAGGTTGATGTTGCATGAAGAACACGAAAACAGAAACGATTAAAATTGTAAAACAATTTCATTTCAGTGTTTCGGGAGTTTTCTAACTGTACCTTGTATATTAACTAAAATTGCGGGTTACTCACGTGAATAAACTAAGAAAAGCTCTACTTGTGTGAGCTTCGCAACGTCGCTGCGACCGCGCACGCTGCTCACGAGGAAGAACCCCTCTGTGGTTCGAAACTAGTAGAGCTTTTCTCAGTATATTCACGTGAGTAACCTGCGATTTTAGTTAATTTAGTATGTCTCACGATAGTTAGTATAAAAATATACCTTGTATAATTATTGTTATTATTCGGCGAAGAGAATGCCACTTTAATCGAGTAGTCTTTAATAATACTGCCGAGCAAAGACTCCTGGATTTGATTCTCATGTTGGGTAGAATATTATTAGGTTTTTTTCTGTTTCTTATTACATAGGTCTAATAAAATAACGACATGGTGAGTGTTAGAGTTTAATGCCACATCTGCCAAGCCCTTCAGGAATTAAAATGTGTGATGTTCTGTTACGGGAAATTTTAATCAAATAGTTCTAGTTTTTTTGAGAAGAATTTTTGTCTGATTATTACCTATTATAGTCTGAATCTGAAGCGTATTTAAGAGAGTTTCAATTTTCTGATAGTGAATCCAATCATAAGATAGTATTTTACACGCCATTGGTATTCCCCACAGCGGAAGACCCTTTATAAATCACCAGTGGTAAGCCGCTAATCCCATTATTTATCAAGGGAACCATTATTCCAAACGAACTAAAACTCTTTAAGGACCGATTTTTCTAACGGCAGACAAAGAATTGGGTATATTCCTGGGTCAAAAATAAATTACTTTGATTTTTCAATTAAATATTCAAAAATAATTGCAATTTCATTCATATATCGAAAATTAAGTATATCCTCAACGATATACTTAATTTCTGATTTCTATTTTGGAAACATATGTTAGTTCTTACAGTCAAAATGAACAGTCCATTTCAATTTGGAATCTCCTAAACTGTGATAGAATTTTGAGTTTAGTTCTATTTAGTTTCCTTAAAAAATCTAGCTTATGATTTTAAATTGACGTCGATTATTAATTTCGGCCGATAACAATACCTTCACTACAGTCAGATAAAAATAACTATGATAACAGACATTTTCTCTCGACATACCTAAAAGCTAAGTACTTCCTTTCCTAAGCAAAAGGTAAAAGTCTCCAACGACTTCCAACACTTACACAAATTGCCGGAACTTGCGAAAAAAAGTCAACACACGTTTTTCTAACCTAGAATTATGTACTCCTGCATCATATCGAGTAATGTACCTAAATATACGTCCATTACACGGTCCTTATTGTTAATAATAACATTTAAAGGACGCCAATAAACATGGCGTACACGCAAAAAGGTAAAATCGTGAACTCCTTAATAGTCTGCAACCGCGGCGGCTAAAATGGCGCTGAACGACTTAATTATGTTGAGAATCCGATTGTTCTAAAACATGTGGGGTGAGGCTAGCACTTTTTATTGGATAAATAATAGTGTGGTTAATAGTTTGTACGGTTGTTGAATAGGTAAGTAGGGACACTGTTTAGTAAAGATAATTGTATGGTAAAGAGATATCCCGTGGTCTACTTTCAAAGACTTGTTTTAGCTAAATAGATTAAATGCTAAACGTGATATTATTACATTTCTTGTGAGACCACTTAAACTATTTTTCATAAGTATGTAGGAGTATTTTAGAAATGCGCTTTGTTGTAAGTTTGTCCTCAAGAAAAATAATAATCTAGCGCAAAACGCACACATAGACATCAATGAAAAAAAAAATCAACGAGTGACGTCACAAAAATCCTACATCGCACATGTTAAGTTTACATTGTGATTATTCACACGGATCAAAAATGCCAAAGAACAACTGTTGGGCAAAAAGCCCACCACGAACATCTCGCTCGGTCGGAGGATCCTGCTTTTCCGATCTTACGAAACTCTACTCTCTGTTCCCTAAATATTTTTTTTTTTTTTTTTTTTTTTAAGGGGGGAAAATCATCGAATGACTGCCCCCGCCTGGGTGAGGCGGGAGGGAGTGTCAGACTCTTACTGACTAAAAACCACCCCGTTCCTTCTCCTGCACGTCGAGCCGGAGCCCCGGTTACCCGTTAGGTTCTCCGCGACTCCGAATCGGCATCGGCCCTATTGGGCCCCATCTGTGGTGGTCTGATGGCTCTTTGAGGCGCGCGCGGAACGCGACGCGCCGTACGCTCGGGTCTGTTTCTGGTCGGACGGGGAGCCACCCATGCTCGCCGTCCGCAGGCCCGCGCTTACGGTGGCCGGAGATCGTCCCGCGATCCCCGACGCCCGGTGTGTCCTTCGCGATGGCTGGGTTGCGAGGAGGCAGCGCTTCGCTGCCTCACGCGTCCCGCCTCCTCCTTAGCTAGCATGACTGCTTCGCAAAAGGAGGAGACGGCATCCCAATCCCCCTCGCTCCGCATCATGGCCTGCACTAGGCCCGGACGCGAGAGGTCGCCATCGCCGATCACTTCCCTGAGGACACGGCGGTGCTCAGCCCACGAAGGGCATTCTCCCACCGTGTGTTCCACCGTGTCCTCAGGGCGGTCCTCGCAGTGATGACACCCGGGCGTTTCCTCCCGCCCCATCAGACACAGGTACCTCCCGAAACTTCCATGTCCGGTGAGGACCTGCGTCAGGCGGTAGGTGAGGACGCCGTAGCGTCTCTCAAGCCACTCCTCAAAGAGGGGACTTACCGCTGCGATGGCAGCGAGCCCAGCCCTCGGTTGCGACAGTCGTTGCTGCCATTCCGCCATGAGATCGCGCCGGAGCTCATCCCGCCACGCACTTATCTGGCGCGGCAGCGGAGTTTCGCCCCGGCGACGTGCCTCCGCGCGCATGCTGTGCACGCGCGCGAGCACCTTCGCCTCCAGATCCCACGGCGGTAATCCGGCAAGGAGGTTCGCCGACTCCCCAGAGATCGTGCGGTATCCGCGGATCATTCGGATCGCCATGACCCTCTGTGCCATGAGCAGCGTCCGAGCGGGACGCCGCAACAGGTTAGGCGCCCAAACAGGGGCGCCGTAGAGGGCCATGGACCGCACGACCCCGGCGTATAACCTCCGGCAGGAGGCGTTTGGCCCCCCGAGGTTGGGGAGGATGCGTTTAAACGCAGCCCCCGCCCTCGCCAACTTTGGAGCCAAACGTCGGAAGTGCTCCACGAAGTTCCACCGACTGTCGAGGTTCCCTAAATATAGGTTGTTTTGTATTTTACAATATTTTAACAATTTCTGTATTTCTAGACTTACAATGTGCACTTTGTAAGAAAACACTCGTTCTTTTTTAAAGCAGGTCAGTTGGAACCAGTAACTTGTAATCAAGTTACATGTTGTTTTACAAGACGTATGGTAATGGAAACATCTAAAGAAGTTAGTATGTAAGCTTGTACGCTAGTTTCTCTTTATTTCTAGGCCCACAACTCACATATTCAGTAGAGCAAAATAACTAGTCTTGCAGTCTATGCACTTTTATAACGTCGTTACAAAGTTACACAGTTTTTCATACTTTCTCAGATATAAATGTAAATGTATTCTAGAAAAACGATGTACTATGAAATCGAATTTGTACAGGATATGTATTATTTATTTATTTATGTTGTTGATAAAAAATATTATATAGCTTTTATGGTAGGTTGTAGACTCGAACGTTTCACCTGAATTCTTCTTTATATTGTAAGCGTTCTTGATATGAATACGACATGTTTTTCGAGATCTTGGCTTATAAAGAAGCAAAAGGCAGAAGCAACTGTTATTTACCTTATAAACATCGAAATATAAAAAAAGCGCAATGAATATTTCGATCAACTTTAAAGCGTCATTTTAGTGCTCCAAAAGTACTTCAATGAACAATTTTCCTGAGGCGCAACCGGCGCAAAATATCGCGCAAAAATATTATTTTTAATGTTGGCAAGAGTTTTATCGTCGCCAGAAGCAATAGGCTGGGCTTAGTACACCCATCTTAATGTTCACTTATTACTAGCTACTCCATCTTTTGTCCCTTTCTCACCCATACTGATCGTTGAGCTATCCCTTTCGCACAGTCTTTAATAAATGCTTGGATTTTGTTAATATTATATGGCTATGGTATCATTAAGATTTGCTGGAGCTTTCGTTAGGACCACCCTATATCTTGGATGTTAAATCAGATGTAGTTGCTATGGAAAAAGAGTAA